GGTCTTTTGTCTTCACCGATAAACAGTCTGATAAACTATCAAAGAAGTGTCTTTCCAAGAACCTATATCTTCTGGATACCAAAACCGGGCATTCACAAAGAAAATGTATTATGGTTTCTTTTTTTTTTTTCTGCGGATTTCCACAACTTCTGCAATGGGGATGATGAGGAATGCGCAATTGCTCTGCGTGGGTTTCTATACATCAATGACCAGAAAGAACTGTAGTAAGCCTTACAGTGTTCACTCGATCTCTTTTGTTGAGTTCCGGAGGATCTTTTTTAGGATTTAAGAGGTTCTATTTTTATTATAGGTGGGCTATGTTAATCTGGAAGTTCTACATGTCTTAAGTGCTTTCCATCTGTTATTGGCAAGTTGCAGAAAGTAGAGAATGGAAATAATTTATAGTGTAGATAGTTATTATAATTGTTATATAAGAAATACCTTTATATTGAAGTATAGAATATATAATATAGATATAAAAATATTAATATTTCTTATTTTTATAGACATCTGCCACGATTGTAATGCTATCTCTTTTCCCATTTTTTTCCTGCTATGATTTTCTGCATCTTTGCTTATTACACACTACACTGAACGGAACTTACCAGAGTACGAAAAATCGCGAGCATTGCTTAACTCTACTTTGCGTAGAAATTAAAATAAGAAAGAGTTTTTATATAAAAAACTGTGTAAACAGCAAAAGAAATAAAATAAACAAACAAACAAACGGACTAAGGAACAAACAAGTATAGTCCTCCAATAACTTCAATGGCAATATAATGCGGGCTGTTAAACCCAAAGCTGCTAAAAGTCATGTTGGTTATTATTTAACATGAAGTTCTTGTCGTAAAATACGGTCCCCTCCTCAATCCTGCCGTACCAGTATTTATAGCGCATTTGGAAGTCAGCAAGTTGTTGCATTTTCTTGCCATTTTCTTACCGCCTCTCTTGTTTTCATTTGGTTTGTTATGTTTTTAGTTTTTGCATTTTTTGTTTTTTATTTTAATTTCATTTTTTTGCATTGTTTTCTGTTTTCTTCCTTTCAACTTCTGCTTCGAGGTTCTGTTTTACACTTTCATTGAGAGTGTTGCCCGCCGTTTGATGAAAGCTACATTAAAAATATTACTACAAAAATAAGGTTATAAGGTTACACTCGTTGGAAAGGTTCACACTATTATAATGTATCAATGTTGTTGTTGGTCGCCTGATTCAGTTCTGTTGCTGTTGTTGTTGTTGTTGTTGCTGTTACAATTACTGTTGTAGTTGCGTTTAATGTGGCCCATGTTCGGCGATTATAATGATTTTTATTATGTGTCATTTAATGGTGTCGTTACTAAATGGCAATGCAAGTACATCAAGGAGCGACGCTCGAAAATAGAATAAAGCAACTTTTGAATAAGCAAAAACAAAGCTGTCTGATTGTTTAGTGTTGCTATACCAACAACACTTGACAGATTAGTGAAGTTTCACGAAGCAAAGTATGGTTTTAGCTAACCACTCTCTTGCATCAACACGTCTAATTGATAACAAAATAGAAATTCAATGAAATAAAATAATTATTTGTGTTGCATGAAATCCCTACCCCGCAGATTTTCCACTTACTACGAAAATATATGTGTGGATTATTTATATATAGGAAACGTCATTATATCCACACTATACTGCGCTTCTCTACGGGACTCAAGTATGTGTGCGAATTTGATGCGTGTGCGTAAGGCTGGCGCCTGATGCATTTTAGTTTGGGCAACATTAGATGAGTGGGTGGCGAATAGTTAGTGCCAGAGATATGGCAGACTAAGTGAAGTACTTATTATATTCATGCAGCTGTTATCCATCCCGCTGCTTACTATACAACAAATGCATCTTAGGCGAACACTCTTAAGCGAACACCTGTGGTGCAGCCAGAAATCATCTATTTATAAAGAAGTGCCTTAACAATGGGGAAGCGGAAGTAAGTTACAAAGTATTTTCGTTAAGGTCAACATACTTTAAGTACATTACGCAAAAAGTTTAAATATTAAAGCCGAATATAAACCAATTCAACCTAATGAACGATGTCAGTTTTTTTATTTAAGAATATCAAAGTTTATCCAGATTCAAACCCCAGCACTATTTTTCGTGTTCGAACCTCAAGAAATGGCTTCAATTGGGCCAATTGAAGATCTTACTAACAAAACAAACACCTATTTTGAAGACCTAGACAGAGAACCTGTAGTTTGAAAGAGATAAAAAAAATAAAAAATTATGTGTAGAATGTATCGAACTAAAAAGAGTATTTTAATCGTATATCTTTTATTTAAAAAATCACTGAAGAATTTTAGAAAAATATCTTGGACGGACAAAAATTATAATTATTAAAAAAGACTAACACCAATGATTTAACAAGAAATAACTAAAAATCAAATAAAGTTATCTCATCAACTAGTAATTGAAAGATTACGAAAATGGACCAAAAACATAACTTTTAATAGACTTCCCAGTGCCAGACATTACATTTTTTGTATTAGCTTCTGTAGATACAGAGATTGCCTTTAAATGGAGCATCTTCACCTTTGAAAAAATTTACTTTTGCTTCTCAGACCCCTGGCACGTTCAGTGGCATCCATGTCAAACCAGTAAATTCAAAAATTCTGTTGAACAATTAAACGCTTCATCTGCTTTAAGAATAATGTCAGTGGGTTATATGTAACTACCTTGCTTTGTATAGACATCTTTGTAAGTGATAGAGGTTGTTAAATTAGTTAAATATTAATAAATAAAAAATAAAAAAAAAAATTATATGCTAAAATATTGAAAAAAATTAAATTTTTATTGGATATTTTGCAAAAATATACTTTAAACCAAAAAAAAATGTATTTATTCAAATTAAATATCCAGTTACGAAACAACTGAATATTAAGTAGACTTATACATAATGATTAAGTTAAACTTTTTATAAGATGTGGCATTTTTTTTAATGAATTATTTTTATTTGTATTTTTGTTTTAATAATTTTTTTCATTTTAATTAATTTTTTTTTATTTTAATTAGTTTTTTATTTTAATTAATTTTTTTTTTATTTTAATTAACTTTTTTAATTTATTTTTATTTATATTTCATGCATGACCTTGAAAACGAACTTATAAACTTGCACCAATTTTTTATGTCAAATTTTTCTTGAACATTCTACATCTCCCATTCCTTGCATCACGAAGTCACCTTCTTACGGTACAATACTTGTTTAAAATAATTAGCTTAAATAAAAATAAATTATAATAAATATAATAATAATAATATAAATAATAATAAAAAATAAATGAATAAATAATAAAAAAATAAATAATAAAAGATATTAATAATAAATAAGATTAAAATTAAAATAAAAGTAGTAGCTTAATTTATAAACATATATTTAATTAGTAAACTTAATTTAATCCTCTTGATAAATTTTATATAATAAAATAAAATCGTGCTCTACAATTTTTAGTGTTTGTAGTAATTAGAGCGGTTCATCGATTTCCCTCCATCCTTTTTAAAATAAAAAAATTTATTGTTTAAGAAAACAATTTCAGATGGTAAAAGTGATTGCATTTTTATTTTAGGTTCCTGATTAATTATGCTTTCAATTTCCTCAATTTTCATACAGTAATACTCCAGAAAAGGTAAATGCAAGTTTACAGAAAAAGTGAGAAGTGTTTCACGTTTTTCTTCTGTCCTATCCTAAGTAAAAGGCAACCTCAAATTTTTAGGTTTTAGTGATCATTAGTAATAGCTGTGATCTTTATTTTTTAGATAAACCACATGAAGGCAGATTTTCATCCTACAATTTATATACGATAATTTTCACTAAGCACATTTTCAGAATATAGTCATTAAGCTTGAGGATATATTTTTTCAATAGTTATCTCATTATAATATATAAATGCATTCATGTGCATACATATATTGGTATAAGTTTTTTACATTTAATGTAAAAGATAATACTAAATAAAATTAATAATATATTATGACTATTATAAAAAATTTCATTGAATGAAACAATCATTTTGGAGAGAGTCTATTTTTGATTTCAACTGACCATATCTAATTAGACTAATTTTTAGGCGGTAATATCTAGCGCTCCGAAGCGCAAGCGTACGATATATACGTGGAACAAAATTTGATAAAATATGCCACACAAATAATCACTTTTTATTTCTAATTTAGTTTAAATACTAAATTTTACTTAAGAATACATATTATTTAAAAGGGTTTAATATTTAAGAAGTATTTTTGAGAAATTAATTAAACGCGCATCTCAGATCAAACGATATTTGTCTTATATATAATTGACACTCCGAAAAATTTGATACAAAATTTATTTATTTTTTATTGGTGAATCCAATTCATCCATAAGCCTCTGTTTGATGTAGAATGCGAGCTTAATTATTTTTTTGGAAAAATATTTTGTAAATAGGTTTTCATAAAATATTGAACTACAATATTTCATTTTTATATTATTTTAATTGGAATTAATTCTTGTATTTAATTATTCGTAAATAATTTTTTTTTGAGACTGCAAGTACCAAGAATCAAACTCGTGCCCTGGCAAATTTAAAGCTCAGAGTTAGCGCTCCTTAACCAACTGAACCAAAGCCGTACCTAATTTTTATGTTTTCACATTTTTTAGGAGTTTTATTAATTTGCTGTGAAAGTTTTATTCTCGAAACCCTCATAAGTCTGTGTCTCTTAAAAAAAAAAATTAATAAGATACCTGTCCCTGTTCTAATTATTATGAATTTGTTCATGTTCTATGCAAACAGTTCTGAACTTAAAAGTTCGATATTATACGAACCGATCTATATCATTATACTCGTATGAAATTAAACAAGTCGTGACGCTTTAGATATCGAAGTTATCCAGTATTTTTGTATATAATAAAATATAAACACATTTCAAGTTTAATAATGACTTATTATTTTGCATTATAAGGAATTACAAAAAGTTTTAATCAACTATTAATTGTTCACTTCAGATTCAAAATGGATGCAAATCATATTGGAGATTTGATGGTTTCTCCGGAATTCATGCACTTGCACCAACAACATCATCATCCACAATTGCAACATCAATCGCAACCCCAGTCACTTCCAGCACAGCAAATAAATAACACTTATGCTGGAGATAACGCTATCGTTAATGGAACAAATGGACAAGAAACTCAGGAAATAACACGTCCTGTTCGTCGTACAAGTCGCCGCACCTCGCAGGTAAACAAATATTAATATTTTTATTACAATAATTATATTTATAGATTAAACTAAAAAATATACAATAATTGGAATTTCAATAGTATATATAGTACATATTTTCAATAGTATATATATATAGTAATATTTACTTAAAATCTTAAGCATAATTCAGTAATTATTTAAATATCAAATATACATTTAAATTAAAATTTATTTAAATTTTTTTTGAAATTATTTCTTTAAATATTAATTTAAATATAACAAATATCGTACACATATTAAATATGAAACATTTAATAACCCCCGTAGCTCTAAGATCCTCTTTTAATATTGAGAGCTGTCCAGAACATTTAGACTCTCTGGGGTGAGAGCCTAGAGACCACACCTCTATTCTTCTCAATTAATATAAATGAACTATTTTAAGTATACTGGGTACATACAGATATATTTATTTGGAAGTGTTTTTGTCTTTGATGACTTTTTATGTAAAATTAATTCTGATTTGATAAGTATTAACTTATGGACGTTCCAAAATAATATGTTGCTAAGTTTGCAGATTGACAGGTTAAAAATATACATACTACAATTATCAGCAGTTTCAGTTTAATAACAAAATTTATTAATAGGTACAGTAATTCCCAGAGTTTAACTTACTTAGTTGAACTCTGGGTAGCATATAAGCAATTACATTGATCAAGTGATAATCTTATCTAATCTTATCTTAATCATATCACCCGGTTAATGTTTGGGTGCCTGAACTTTACTGTCAAATATACTCCAGCTACTCATGAAATAGGTAGTATGTTAATAAATAATTAAAATTTTTATAGTTATGTTTGATGGCTAGGTTTACAAACTACAGGACTTCATTAAATTGCACGACTACTACAATATAAGATGGATTTATCTTATATGGTATGCACGGAAACTTAATTATAGGTTGCGATATTAAATTGCCAATTTCTTATCTAAACTGCGACTTTTAAAGACCCCAGTTCAAACTCTTACTAGCGTAACGAAACCTCATTTAAATCGCTTACCAAAAATAATTATTTTCATTCATTCATCTGGCGAGATAATGGAAATCTCTCATTGTTTTCAAAAAAAACCTTAACGTAAATGGTTATATGACTTTATTTCCCTGATGAATTTTACATTCATAGTTTTATAAACATATGTAGATTATATGTTTTAACTTATTTAACATATCTTCTAATTTTTTTCCCCTTATTTTTTAACCCCTTTAATAAATGATATAAATTATGACAGTGGCAGGTCATTAGATAACTTCTATGTACCTCAATTAGAAATTTTTCGCCGTTTTGCCACATTCCTCACAAGAACTCCTTGCACAGAGAAGTAGAAACTAAATCCATTCCGCCATATTTATATAATTTAATAAGTCTATCATCTTCACCAATAAACAGTCTGATTAACTATGAAAGTAATATCTTCCTAAGAACCTTTATCTTCTGGACGCCAAAGTCGGGCTTTCACAGAGAAAAATCTGTGCAATAAAAATGAGAATAATTAGTATCGATTTAGATATAGCTTGTTAATAGATCACCGATTTGGGAACAAGTTTTTCTTAGCAAAACTTTTCTATTTTTTATTTTTTTTCTAAATAAATATAATATATAATATTGAAAATATAATATTGTTTGATGTTAATTATTTTTGTCGAAAGTTACGCATTTTATGACGAAGAGAAACTATTTAAAAGTTAAAAGATTTCAAATAGAAATAAAAAACAACAACAAAAATTTTAGTTAATTTATTGAAATTCAGCTGACTATACAACGCTGTTTCGGGTATTGGCCAGTGCTCATCGTCAGTGATCTTACGAAATATTGTTTGGTGTAGATTTGAATGTACTAGTCTTACAAAGTGATAATCTAGCTTTATTTTATTATTATTAATATATCCTTGATGTACTTTGGGCAAAGACACATCTCCTAGTAAGAGCATACGACGAAGTGTGTTTCTGTTTCTTGGGTATAATTGCTCAAATATGTGATTAAATGACACACACTCGGCATTTTATCCGGCCAGATACCATAATGATGGTATCTGGAATGATGTTTCAGGTAAACCCGATTCACTAGAGTTGTAGACGCTGCCGTTGACTTAGCTTAATGCTCTTGTTTCTCCGCCACCGCCTTATACCGTTGTTCTTTGAAAATGTCTACAGCGGTCTTCTAACTCTCGTTTGTCTCCTACCTTTTGATCCACTTGGGTTGGTTACCAAATCTTCCAGAAGGTTGCTAGGATTAATAGGGGCACTGCGGGAAGGTGAAAGTAGAAATTTGAGCAGGAGAGGCTATGGATGCTAACTGAACACAGCATCTATGTTCCGCATTACTGCCCCATTGTGCTCCCACTATATTTCACTTTATTTTACTTATGTACACCTAAATTCTCCTTTTTGTTAGATATATTGGAAAACCCATAGGTATATTCTTCAACAAATTTCATTTCACTCTACATTAAATAGAGTTTTTATTACATTTTACACAAAACAATAATAAATTGTAAGTGTACCCATTAATTTTATTAAGATTTTTTTTAACTAAGTACGTTAAAACGTCTTAGATATAGTATAAAGTATAAATTTTTGTGTAAAGGGCATTTGAGCTACGGCAAAGCCAAAGCTAATATCTTTACTTAGTAATTACCTCTGTTAGTTTTTAAGTTAGATTTAAGATAATGCAGTAAATTTTTTTCCGAACACAATTAATAAATAAATGATAATTTAAAATTTATGTAAATGAGTCTCTTTAAATAAAATAATGTATGAAAAATTTACTTTAAAATGGCTTTCTGGACCAAATTCAAGCGCACATTTTATGTATGGAAAAAGTAGACTTCTTTTCTTAAATCACAATTCTTTGCTATAAACATTTTATGCATTTCTATAAGATTCGCTTTGAATAGTGCTTGATTTTAAACATGTATTTCTATATTTAGATAAAATGTATATTCTGACATATATAAATGCATGGCATATATTCACCACTTTTTTCTACAATATATAGATGCTTTTGCAGGCATCTGAGAAGCCGCAAGTAAACAATCTCTTCGAACAACAAACAAGTAACCAAACAAAGTCAGCATGGGGAAGGCATGTAAAGTTTTCCTTCATTTGAGGCAGAACCCTATATTTAAAAAATTACTCATACGCACATGTGTCCGTACATGTGCTTATCCTGTAAATGCTGTTTTACACTTTTATTTTTATTTGTTTTTTTTTGTTTTTTTTTGTTTTTTTTTTGTTTCTTTATTTTTTTTTATTTTTTGTTGTATTTTCAACTTGATAAGTATATGTTTATGTAATTTACTTGCTTTATTTTGCAGCTAAGCAATAATAACTATGATATGGAAATGACAGATTCAAGTTCGCAAAGTGATGACACCAGCGGAGGCGGTGGTAGCAGCAATGGCGGCAGTGCACGTCCTTCCAGTCGTGGTAGAAATTCATCTTCTGGTGGCACAAGTCAAAGTCGTCGCAGAAAAGGGGTACTCAATGCTAAGGAGCGTAACTTACGCCGCTTGGAATCGAATGAACGGGAGAGGATGCGTATGCATAGCTTAAATGATGCATTTCAGGTAAGGTTACAGATAATCTTTCAAAATATATACGATTTTAAATAAGCTTTCTCTTAAGAAAGTAAGTATAAAAGATGTTGATTGTATTTAGATACCATGATATGTTAACACAATAGAAACTAAATGCCTCAAATCAAAAATTTTAATCAATTTCTGTTGTCTGGTTATAAAGAAATATTGACTTGAAATCTTATTTTAGAGTATGTAAGAACGAAATAAAATTATCTTGATGATTTCCGTTAAATCATATTAGTAATCATATTTTCGTTAAAAAAAATTTATATTATTTTCAATTTATTTATAGATCTGTTCAATTTTGAGCAAAATTTTGTGATAATTTTTTAAAATTTTTTCAGAAAATTTTTTTTTGTGTTGTGAGGAGGATGAATTCTTTATGCACCGTCAAACCGACCGTCGTCGGAATGGAGTGTCCAACTCCCTAACATTATATTCGTACTAAAACACCCCTTCTCCAGCGAAACTTATTCTTCCTCGTGACTGCTTTCGCATTACTTCGAGGAAGGTGTTTTTTATGTTGGCATTTCAAGCCACGCTCTTGTTTTCACCGCATTTCTTGATGTCTGCACTATTTATTATTCTAGTTTCTGCTTCTGCTTTGTAGGTCTAATTTCTTCGTTTTGTGGACTTGAATCACACATGACTCTATCGTTCGCCAGTTCTCTGTGTTCGCTTCATCTTTTCCAAAATATTTTTGGGATTTATAGAGACAGTAGTACAGATTGGACCTGTACTATTATCTCTTCTCCACTTTTAAACCACCTATCACAGTAAAAGGAGGTGTGCGCTGGCAGTCTCTAGTAGTCTCCATCGCCATTAATGCAGTCGGATAGATCCACCTTTCCCATACGGTCCGGTACTTACAAAAGTACTCATGTCCGCTTAGGATCTGAGTGAGATAGTAATTTGCGTCTCCCTATTTCCGTTTCCAGATGAAGTTGAGAATCTCTTTTAAGCCAGTGAAAAAGCGATCCCCTAGACATTAAAGTCGCTTCGTCTGCAGTGCTAAGCAGAGACACATGAAGTGATTGATAGATTCTACCACCTCTCCATCTTGGCAACTCTTGTATAATTTACTTGTTAAAACTCGCCACCGTTAGAGCATAGGTGCAATAGCACAGTGCCCCATTATTACTCCAGTATGTACTCGAACTGTAGGTTCGCTGAAGCCTAAAAGGTATTTCGTTTTGTTTTCGTCCAAACATTTCTAATTCTTAGTTAACAAATAAATAAATTTTTGTCTATATCTATATCTTTTGAACATATCTTTTGTTTAGAAATTGAAAATTTTTCGATACGCTGACTCTCAATTCAATGCGTTTATTTCGTATAATTAAGCTTTTAATACAAGCATTTTTGTTTGAACATTTATCTCACCTTTTATATCTGTTCAAATACCTGTTAATAACGTTTAATTAAGTACTTTTTAGCTAAGCAAATTTGATAGATTTTCGCTAAAAATTATTGGTATACCGAAATTGCAGTATCTTCCTCCAATACTTAAAATTCTTTTACTGTTGATAATTCTATAAACGCAACAGACATTCTAGATTATTTCAAATTCAATAATATCTCATAAACATTACGTTCAAGTACAACAATACAATTCATAATTAATAATAATTTGATTAATTCTAGTCGTTGCGTGAAGTCATACCACATGTGGAAATGGAACGTCGACTATCCAAAATTGAAACCCTTACATTAGCCAAAAATTACATTATTAACCTAACGCATATTATACTCTCGAAACGTAATGAGGAATCTTCATTGGATTTGGATGGAGTACTATTAAATGGTGGCGACACCGCAAACAGTTCTGGCGTCACTAGCAATGATATTGTAATTGGTGTCGGTGTTGGCACTGGTGTCGGTGTCGGTGCTGGTGCTGGTACTGGTGTTGGTGCTGGTGTCGGTGTTGGTGTTGGTAGTGTTAGTGTTGGCATCGGTATTAATGATACTCTTAACGGTGGTGGCAATACTGGTGGTGGTGTAATTGCAGACGGTTTATGTTATGATGATAACCTTACAAATGGTACAAATCAAACAGCTTACGATTGTGCACTTTTAGTTGAAACGGCAAATCAAACACCAACCGTCACTACAGCTACAACCACTATTCAAATACAAAATCAGAGTATAGAGCATATGCATCAACAAGCCGCAGCTACGCATTTGTTGCATCAAAATCATAATCAATTAATGTTGCAACAACCTCAACAACATCCTCAAGCAACAGCAATTTTATTAACAAATGGCTTTGGCAACGACGCAAATGACAACAACAACAATTTTGATGAACCTTTCCGAGAATTCATATAAATTCGGAAACCGTTGAAATAACCAGACCGTTAATGCACTCGAGGGTATGACAAAAAGTTTCGAATATTAAAAAAAAATTACTTTCTAAAATTGTTTGAAGATCAAATTTTTTATTAATATTAACTTTAATTAATTTTTAACTCAAAGTGAAATATTTTTTACTTTAGTAAGATTATTGAAAAATAATTTGACATTAAAGAAAAATATTAGCAGAAAACGCGAATATCAAAAATAAATGCTCACTCAATTGAGAGGCGTTGTCAACTGCATTTGTAAATAGTTTAGCACTAACTACTTAGTTGCTATCTACCTAAACCAAGGAACATATTAATATTATACAAATACATAAATTCAATTATCATTTACATTAAGTCAAATAAAAACACTCAAAAAAAATAAATTACTGTCCTTGTACATATATCCTTTTCAATTTCAGCTTAGAATACACACTTAAGAGCAAAAAAATTAAAACTATCTACCAATAAATCGTATATGAATATAATATTTAAGATCTACACAAAATCCAATTTAAAGCAAATTTACATATAAAAAATTAAAAGTGCGATATTAATATAAAAACAATAATTTTACAATACTTAAAAAATAATGTCATAACAGCAAATCTTATAGAACATAATATAAGAAATGATATGATAACAAAATAAATAACTTCTGACACACAGGGTTTTTAATTAAATATATAATAACATAATTAGTTTTATTTATAATAATAAAATAAATATAAACTAAAATAAGTATTCATTTTATTAAAATAAATAAATAATTATTTAAATAAGTTGAAAACTAAAAATATAAACATTTTTAAATATAACTATAAATATATGTTATCAGCAGGATTCAAATCGAAAAGCTGATAATGTTAATCTATAACTACGAGTATTAAATTTTGAATTTATTTATTGACCTGTTTTTTTAATAATGGTTTTTATATATATTTTACCCGGCTATAGGTCACTTTTTGTTAAAATTAAAATTCAACCTTTGTTTAATATTTTCTAATATATGGAATAAGAATATAGAATATAAAATATATATTATAGATACTATTATTCTATAATTATTAAATTTGAATTTATTTATCGACCTGTTTTTTTAACAATGGATTTTATATATTTCTTATCTGATTTTTGTTAAAATTAAAATTCGTTCGTTTAATATTTTCTAATATATTGAATAAGAATATAGAATATATATAACAGAAATATAAAATATATATTATAGATACTGTTATTCTATAATTATTAAATTTTGAATTTATTTATCGACCTGTTTTTTTAACAATGGATTTTATACATTTCTTATCTAATTTTTTGTTAAAATTAAAATTCAACGTTTGTTTAATATTTTCTAATATATGGAATAAGAATATAGAATATATAAAATGGAAATATAGAAAATATTAAAAAATATTAAACAAACGTTGAATTTTAATTTTAACAAAAAGTGACCTATAGCTGGATAAAAAAAAATATATATATATATATTCCTGGTACTTGCAGTTTCAAAGATTTATTTACGAATAATTAAATACAAGAAATAATTTCAAGACCACTGATGATGGGTCTTCTGAACTACTTGAAACAGCTCTATGATCAGCCAAGAATTCAATTAATTAATATAATAAAAAAATGAGTTTTGGTTTTAGTTCACTACTTTTTGAAAAAAACCTCTTTATATATATATATATAAAAACCGTTATTCTATAACTTAAATTTTATTTTCATACTTATTTATATTATTTATATTTATATTATATTATATTTAAAAATATTCTGAAAATTTTTTTAGAGTTTTTTTATCAAAACTACCAGATTTTTAAAATTTTATTATATGATTGTAATCAAAAGTATGTTTAAGGCACTATGGTTCTATTGACCTTGAACAATTGTAGGTAACATTATTAGCAAAAATTAATAACTTTCTTATTATATTAAGAAAATATTTAGAAATGATTTATTTTTTACAAGAAATCAAAATTAAATATTTATAAAAATAAATATTACTTGCCTTTATAATTATGTCTTGTCTAAAATTCAAAATTAAAATACCGTAAAATGTAACTTATCTGAAATAATGTCTTTATATAAATATATATAAAATTCCTAAATTTTTTATTCTTAAATAATATTAGTTTTAAAAAATTCCATAATTCCTTGGAACCTATTAAATAGTTAACCTTAATAAACTCACCTAGATAAAAATATCATGTGTAAATCGAACACTTATTATTGAGAATAAGTGCTTTAGACACTAACTCTGGTATTTTATTAAAAACTGCAAGACAAGAATAAAACAAATGAAGAATTTTTAACATTTAGGTACTTTGAGGTTCTGCCTTCACTATACGTTGAAAGACCATAACGCCTAGAAATTATAGAACAGGACTAAAATTTAATTTGACAATATTTATTCAACATTTTAGTAGTTCTTTTTTTGTATTATTTAAATATACACAATTCTTAAATTATAATATATCTGGTGATATTATTTCGTATATCATAATAATAGCCGTAATTTTTTTTTCAGAGTAGCAAAAATACACTCGCAACTTACGAAAGAAAACATGTGAGGCAACAACAATGCTCTTAAGATCTTAAGAGTTAGGTTTTACTCGTAAAAAATTTTATGTCTAAAGTTTCAGTGCAGCCAAATCAGTCTATTTTGAATGTTATGTTGCAAAATTCCAATCATCCGTTAAAGTCTTATGAGCATTTCATTTACTTATAAATTCAAATACATAAAATACATTAATTTAAATATATAGGATAAAAATGATTATCATTGCCTTTCTAATATTTATTTTGTGTTCTTTTATTTAGATTAATTAATTTTTCGTGTTTACAATTTTTATATTTCATACTGTACAAACTATAACAAAACACATGTCAAAAAAACACATTTAACTTATTTTAAAAGTGATGCCAATTTGTTTCAATCAGACTTAGTGTTGTTTTTTTACAACTCTGAAAGAAAAAATGACGGCTAATAACTAATAATTATAATGAACTGATAAACATAACTTATTGATTGAAAAGTTAAGATACACATATGTGTGTATATAAATAATCTTAAAATACTTCATGTATTTTAAAAAAAAACCGTTATAGAATGACGATTCATAAATTATGTACATTAATAAAAAATATTTTTAAATAGTATTACAAAATATTTAAGTTACATATATCTAGTTTAAATACAGTGTAAACTATCCTAATGGATACCTCTGTCAAAAGTACACTAATCCTGCATAGAAATAAAATTTTTTTGTCATTTAGAACAACTTGATTCCTTCTGACTTGATGATGAGTATTCGGTCAGGAAAGTTTTCACTGTAATGGCTACAGTAATAATGTAAATACCACCATATAGAGTCAATATGGTACAAATATTATAATGAAATATTAGCAATTCAAACTGTAATATATGCTAATTCAATATCATAATAAGTTAGGGAGTTATATAGAACAACTTGATTCCGTCTGACTTGATGATGGGTATTCAATTAGGAAAGTTTTCACTGTAATGTCTATAATAATATTGTAAATACGTTTTCATAATATGGAATTCAAACATGAACCACCATATAGAGTCAATATGGTACAAATATTATAATGAAATATTAGCAATTCAAACTGTAATATATGCTAATTCTATATCACGATAAGTTAGGGAGTTATATATAATATTAGGTCATAATAGATATTATTTAAAGCACACTATAACATTTGTACATAACTTAACATTATTTTAATTAATACTATTAATTAATAATAGTTTTTAATACTATTAATTAATAATAGTTTTTAATTCTATTAATTAATATTAATTATTAATTCTATTAATTAATATTAATTATTAATACTATTAAATTTATTATTAATTTTAATAACAAAATATGAAATATTATTTCATCAATATTAAGTAAATGTAAGAATTATTAATATTAATAATTAATAAAATTTAATTTAATTTAATTTGAAAATCTCATTCAAAAAATGAACTCTAAAAACTTCCCAAACAATTGTTAATTATGAAAATGAAAAAGCTATGAGACGATGACACATACACATATGTTATATGTTAAAATATGATAGTACAAATACTTTAAGGAACACAAAATCTACTATATATATAAAAATTATTGAGTTAACTTGACTTAGAGATCCTTCACATTTAACAAATAACATAGGTATTGTGCGACTAATGATGGCGACTTGGTACAGCATACGAAGTAGAAGGTAATACTTGGAAATCTTGAAAAGATATAGATAACCTGTAGTATCTATTAGATCGATTCATGGTTGAATTCCTGAATTTTCGGATTTCCAAAGTATAAGGAAAACAATCTTAGTGCAAAAATGAGAGAGCGTTCTTTTGAAATATGTGCTTGGAAACTAATACGGCGTTTACATTGTGAGATTAAAAGTAGATTAAAGCAATAATCGAGATTAAAGTACTAATCTCGTTGTCTAATCTTACGTTTTCAATACAAAAATTAATATCCTATTTGTCGAGTTTAATTGAAAGTTTGGTTAATTAATTGAATTGAAGATTAATTGAAATTTTGAAATTGCCAAAGTGAGTAAATTTTTAATAAATTTGTTTAATAATTGTTTTGTACATAATTATAATTAAAGTTTATTAAATAATTGTTATAAAACTATTTATTAAATTTATAATAAAATTTTTTTGTGCAAAATTGTAAATAAATGCTTTATTTATAGAAATTTATCAAACAAAACACAACCAAAAAATGTCGAAATTAATCTGCAATGTCTAATGTAAAGGTTTAGATTAAAAATATAGATTAACTTAATCCCGTTTGCTTAATCTCACAATGTAAACGTAGTATAAGCGAAAACTGATTCACGAGTTATAAAAATAATGGCGTTTGGTTTCTTTAGAAGCCTGAATAACTATAATTGACTACTTTGATAATGACTAGAATATAACAAGGCAATATTGTGGCACGCCTTTAA